TAGTAAATAAGCCTTTGGTAGCAATGATCATAAGTGATTGAATTTAGCATTTGGTTGTGAAGTGAGACTCTTTAAAAACTTAAAAAACGCTAACTACAATGGTATGAAAACAGCTGGCTAAAGGTAGGACAGTAGCAATGCAATGGCAGACATTTCAGGAGTTGCTTCATAATGTCATTAAAGACACATTCCAATGAGTAAAGATGACTCTAGAAGGATTTACCATCTATGATTAAAAGAAAAAAAAAGGAGTTGACAAAATTTAAACAGATATTGTATGCCTTCACTTTGGAAGGCAAATTCTTGTAAGGATTTAATAAATATTTCTGTGAAAAGGAAGGAAGGATAATTAAAATAATTACAATCACAGGGAAAGGACAAGAAAATTATTCAAACTAAAGGCTGACAATTCCCTAGGGCTTGTTGAACTGCATCCTAGGGTTAGTGTAATTGATTGTAATTTTCCAAAATTCAACAGGCTCTTAAAAGGTCCGATCAGATTCAAAAATGAGAAATGTAACCCCTCCCTCATGAAACAGGTGGGACAGATAAACAGAAGACTACAAGTCAGTTAGCCTAACATCTGTCAAACGGATAATAGTGAAAGATAACTCCAAAAAGAGACTGCACTATGGTTGAAACGCAGACAGAAGATCCACACAACAGCAAAAAACTGAATCAGAGATAGTAGGAACTGCAGATGCTGGAGAATCCGAGACAACAAGGTGCAGGGCTGGATGAACACAGCAGGCCAAGCAGCATCATAGGAGCAGAGAGGCCGACGTTTCGGGCCTAGACCCTTCATCAGAAAAGGGAGAGGGGAAGGGGGTTCTGAAATAAATAGGGAGAGAGTGGGAGGCAGATAGAAGAGGGATAGAGGAGAGGATAGGTGGAGAGGAAACAAACAGGTCAAAGAGGCGGGGATGGAGCCAGTAAAGGTGAGTGTAGGTAGGGAGTTAGGGAGGGGATAGGTCAGTCCAGGGAGGACAGACAGGTCAAGGGGGCGGGATGAGGTTGGTCGGTAGGAGATGGAGGTGCGGCTTGAGGTGGGAGGAGGGGATAGGTGGGAGGAAGAACCGGTTAGAGAGGCAGGGACGAGCTGGACTGGTTTTGGGATGCGGTAGGGGGAGGGGAGATTTTGAAACTTGTGAAATCCACATTGATACCATTGGGCTGTAGGGTTCCCAAGCGGAATATGAGTTGCTGTTCCTGCAACCTTCGGGTGGCATCGTTGTGGCACTGCAGGAGGCCCAGGATGGACATGTCGTCTGAGGAATGGGAGGGGGAGTTGAAATGGTTTGCGACTGGGAGGTGCAGTTGTTTATTGCAAACCGAGCGTAGGTGTTCTGCAAAGCGGTCCCCGAGCCTCCGCTTGGTTTCCCCGATGTAGAGGAAGCCACACCGGGTACAGCGGATGCAGTATACCACATTGGCAGATGTGCAGGTGAACATCTGCTTGATGTGGAAAGTCTTCTTGGGGCCTGGGATGGGGGTGAGGGAGGAGGTATGGGGGCAGGTGCAACACTTCCTGCGGTTGCAGGGAAAAGTGCCAGGTGTGGTGGAGCTGGAGGGGAGCAAAAAACTGAACTGAGCAAAGAATGAGGTGGGGGGCAGAAAACATGTCAGACTGGTTTGGATCAAGGGAGTCAGGAGCCATAAGACCGTCACACTAAAAACAAATTTACAGTATGTCCATCTGCATATCAGACTTTCACAGTAGATCAGTGACCAGATAAAATGGGACAGCATCTATTACTGCTAAATTTGTTGATGACAAGAAAAAATAGGAAAGTAAGTTGTGACAAAGACACAAGGAATCTGCAAAATGTAATTAGATAGGGTAAATGCACAGACAAAAATGCCAGGTAGCACGTAGTGTTGCAAGTGTGTGGTCTTGATCACTCTGGCAGGAAGAAAAGGCAATATATTATTTCAAATGAAGAGAGGTTGCAGAATTCTATGGTACAGAAGGATCAGGAAGTTCTGAAGATGACTCACAAGAAGTTAGTATGCATTTACTACAAGTCATGAGGAGGACAAATGGCATGTTGTCATTTATTGCAAGGGGAAGATAAAAGAAAAGATGCTTTGCTATAGTTGTTTTACAGCATTGGTAAGATACCTAGAATACAGGTACAGTTTTGGTTTCCTTACTCAAGTTTATAATTGCATTAAACGCAGTTCTCCAAAGTTTCACTAGACTAATTCATGGAATCAAGGGGTTGTTTTGAGAAAAGATCAAATCTATATCCATTAGAGTTTAGAAGAATGAGAGTCTCTCTCATTTAGAAGACGAGATGCTAAGGGGACTTTACAGGGTGGATAATGAGGGGATGTTTCCCCTTTTGGGAAAAAAAAAACTACAATAGGGGACACAATTTAAAAACAGGATGCACTTAACGTCAACACAACCAGGTAGAGTAGTGAGTAATGAGCTTGCATGTGCAGAAACTCAGCATTGCAGAGCTATGCTAATGTCCAGCAACACAGTGGCAGCTGCCTGTCACCTCTCAGCAGGAGGTGTGCACCTGCTAACCTAACAGAAAATAACACTTATTTCAAATGTTCCCACAAAACAAACTCTCAGGACGCACTAAAAATCCACATACCAGTATATTTAGATTGGATGGAGCATGATTGGGAAGTGCATCATAATCCAAAACATGCTGCTTGCTACTTCTTTAAGAAGAGAAAGAAAAATGGTATTTTGGTTTTTGGCTGGTGTTGACACAAAGGCTGGTTCTGCAGAGTAGGCTGTTGACTGTTGCGTGCGTGTATGGAAGGTTAATTCATTTCACACTAACATTATGATACCAACCTCATTTGCAGACAGTGGCAATACAGGTACTTTTGCAGCATGCAGCTGGGCATGCTCGAACACTCGGCAGCCACTTTTATATGTTGGGTACACATGCTATTAAAAATAAGGGATTTCCTATTTAACATAAAAATGAGAAATTCTTCTCTTCCAGAGGATCACTGCTATATAGAATTCTCTTCCCCAGAAAGCAGCAGAGACAAATAAGAGTTTCTTTAATTTTTTAAAGAGAAAAAAGTCAAAGTGAGTGTTGGTTCTATAGAAAGGGAGTCAGAATTAATAACGAAAAATACAATCACCAGAAGTGGTACAGAGAAAACTGTTGGAGTTGTGGGTTGACAAGTACCCAGGTGCTGACAGAGTTAATCCTACGGTCTTAAAAGAAGTGGCTATTGAGATACTTTATGCATTGCTTTTAATTTTCCAAAGTTTGAAATTCCCATTAGATTGAAAGACAAGAAGAGTAATTTGTTGTTCAAAAGGGAAGGAAGTCAGAAAGTAGAAACCTACAGGTCAGTTGGTTTTAACATCTGTCATACGGAGAATATTAGAAGCTATTAAAGCTATAGCAGGACACTTCAATAAGTTCAAGGTAAACAATAGTTAACATAGTTTAAAGAAGGGGAAATCATATTTAACCAACCATTTGAGTTCTTTGAGGGAATAACATCCAGTGAAACTGGATGTCCTGTACTTTAATTTCCAGAAAGCATTTTATAAAGAGCCACAAAAGGTTACTGCATTAAATTAAAGTCATGGTATAGTGAGCACCGTATTGGCATGGATTAAAGATTGGCTAGTTAATAGGTAGCAGAGCATAGATATAAATGGGTCTCAGGTTGGCAAGATATTATGAGAGTTATGACTCCAGGATCAGTGCTGGGGCCTCACTTGTTTATAATTTATATAATGACTTGGATGAAATGATGGAAAGCACGATTACCAAATTTGCTGATAACAAAGACAAGTAGGAAAGCAAGACGTGAGGAAGATAAAATGAAGGTACAAAGGGATAGAAATAAGTTAAGATGAGCGGGCAAAGATTTGGCAAATGGCGTTAATGTGGGAAATGTGAAATTGTCTATTTTGGCATGGAAAATGAAAAATTAAAGGGCAAGAAGTGCAGAGCTCCGAGATGCTGCAGGATCTGGTTTGTCTTTGTCATGAATGACAAAACAATAGTATGCAGGTTTAGAAAGTAACCAAGAAAGCTAAACTATGTGTCATCATTTAATGAGAGGGATGAATTATAAAAGTAGGCAGGTTAAGTTTCAGTAATACGGTGAATAATGAGACCACATCTTTAGTATATGTACACTACTCGACTTCCAAATGTGTTGGAAGGCATTCAAAGAAGAAGATTTAGCAGATTAATAGCTGGTACGAGCAGGTTGCCTCATGAGAAATAGTCAGGGTAAGGTTGTATCCAATGGAGTTTAGAAGAGTAAGAGGTGACTTGAATGAAACATCAGATTCTGAGGGATCCTGGCAGGGTAGATGGGGAGATGATGTTTCCTCTAACAGAATAATCATGAACTGGGGGTCACCATTTAAAAATTCAGGGGCTGTCCATTTAAAACACAGATGAGACAAAATTTTCACTCCAAGTGTCACAAGCTTTTAGAACTCTTTCTGAAAAGGAGCTGGAAGCAGAGTTTTGAATATTTTTAAGCAGAGGTGGCTAGTTTATTAAGTAAGGGATTTAAAGATTATCGAGGCAGGAGGATGGGGATTGGAGGTTACAAAATCAGATCAGCCATGATCAGACCGAAAGGCAGAACAGGCTCAAGGGACTAAATTGCATGCCCCTGCTCCTTGTATGCTCAAGTGTTTATATGGCCAGATTGGATTAAATTTCCAACAAACAAGGGAATCAAATGTTGAGTGTAGACAGAAAAACAGTTGAGGCCACAATTAGATCAACTATGGTCTTAACAAACTGGGGTGCAAGATGCAGAAGATGCAATAATCTACGCCTGCTGGGATACTCATGAATTCATATGGATGCTTTATATTAGAATAATAGATATGTGAAAAGCAAGGAGATGATGGTACCTGTCAATACTACAAGACTATCCTGAATAGGGATCACAGGCTAAAAGGATTTTACAAGCACAGCGCACTAGAGACAACTTTGAGCCAATCAGAATCATTTTACCATCCCTCATTGATCAAGACTCACATTAATCATGTTCCTCCAAAGGTCTGTCTTTCCCGACAACAGTGGTTCAGGATGGGCCAGGCCTGCATTGTTGATGCACACATCCACACCTTGGTACTGTGACTTGATGGCAGAAAACATGGAAAGGATTTCCTCCTCATTGGTTAGGTCACACTTGTGTGCAACCAAGGTACCTGCATAATCAGCACTCTTGCATTCAGCAGCTAGTTTCTGCAAGAAAAAAAGTAAAAATTGTTAAGAATGATCAATCATAGAAACAGAAAATCGGAGCGGGAATAGGCTATTTGGCCCTTTGAGTCTCCTCTGCCATTCATTAGGATCATGGCTGATCACCCAACTCCATATTCTATTCCTTCTTTTCCCCCATATCCTTTGTTCCCTTTAGGCTCAAATGCTATATCCAACTCCTTCTTGAAATGTTTTGGTCTCTACTACTTTCTGATGAGAGTGAAATCCACAGACTCACCACTGCCTGGATGAAGAAATTTCTCATCTCAGTCCTTAAGACACTAGGTATCTCTAGATTGTGGCCTCTGGGTTCTGGACTCCCCTACTGTTGGGAAAATCCTTTCTGCACCTACCCTGTCTGAACCATGACACACCTAAAATTCAAGAACAGGAAAACATGACAATAAGGAGCAGGTTGAAAGAAAGTTTCAGGGCAATCTGCTGCTGAAGGTCTTGAAATTATCCTGAAACTGGTTCAGCAGTTTAATTACTTTTCTGTACAGGCTGTAATACTGTAATACAGGCTGTTTCACTTTCTACATTCCCAATTTTTGCATGAAAGCACGCAAGCAAGCAGATAGTAGCTCTCTTGAGCAAACCTCTTCTCAGTCTAAATCCTCAGCTCTTGATATCAGCTGCTGCTTAAGATGAAATACCAGCTCTGATGAAATATTATGAATGCTCAAAATCTAGTGTGTAAATTTCATGACTCTTGACATTTGGATTTAATTTTTTGTTCAAATTTGAACGATACCAGAGTGTTCTATGTTTGGTTTCTGTAAGAGTATTTCTCATGCAAGCACAGATTCATATAACCTGCACCCCCATTCCCCTTACACTCCAGATAATGGAGAGCTTACTGTGGTTTAATTTCTCACTTATGTTCTTCCCATCATCCCCATCCTACACTAAGTGTTATTAAATTACACAGTATTGCACCTGGTACTGACATGCAGTTTCCTCACAGGAATTTATTGTTTAATGCAATTGACAAATGTAAACCTATAGTTAACCAGATCTGCTGTTTTGGAAAGAAATGACTTAATGATCAACATTTAATTTCACTGAAGTAGCAGCAGGTGGGGCACAAAGGTGATATTCCAAGAAAAATAGGGAGGTCTTGCTAAACCGATACAAGGCACTAGTCAGACTACACCAGGAACACTAATCAGTTTCGGTCCCATTACCTAAAGAAATATACAGCAGCACTGGTTCACTAAGTTGATTCTAGGTTTGGAGGCATTTTAATCAGAAGAGATTGAATAGGTTGGACTTGTACTCATTGGAATTTAAAAGAGTGGGAGGAAATCTTATTGAAATATAAAAGATTTGTAGGGGGCTTGATGACTGTAGATGCAGAGAGCTTTTTTTTTTTTTTAAAAATAAACTCTTGTGGGACAGTCCAGGACCAGAGAGCAGAAAGTCAAAGGGGTCACCTACTTGAGACAGGAATAAGGAAGAAATTACACTCTCAGATGGGTAGTGAATCTCTGCAATTCTTTGCCAAAGACAGTGGTAGAGATGTTGAATCGCTAAGTATTTGCAATAAGAAGACAGACCAGTTTTTAAAATCGCTAAGGAAATCAAGGCCTATGCTGGATACAACAGGGAAATGGAGGCGTGGTTTATCAGATTTGCCATGAGCTCAATGAATGGTGCAGTAGAATCGATGAGCCAAATGGCTTACTTCTGCTCCCAAGTCTTATGATCTTATTCAAACAAAGCAAAAGAAATCTATAAGTACAACAATGTTTGTTTCTTAGGACAGATGCAGGAGGGACAGAAACATCCAGAATACCATTCCTTATCACCACAGTGAAAATCTGAAAAATGTGCACTTGTTTTTCATGATCAAACAAGTTACCTATACTTATTTGCAAGTTCATACAATGGGCACAGGCAAAAGACCAGCAGATTCAGTGTCTATAAATGCAACTGAAAAGGTCACTTTTTGCTAAATTTTGCTAAGGAAGGAGAAAAAGAAAAAAATCAAGCCTTCCCCTTTGTACAATAAGTAATTCACAGCTTATTAAAATAATCAGTGTACAAGAAGTATTGCTACATCTTCAACTAAAATGTTTGTATAGATAGTAAAAATATAGAACACTCCTAAAATTATAGTCTCAATAATAACATTAGGAATGTGATTATATACATTAAAATAATTCCGATTAACAAAATCTAGATTGAGGCAGCCTAAAACAGGCAAACGTGACAATATAGTTTCACAGCTATTTCATGCACATTTGAAACAGCATTTAATCAATCATTTTGGTGCTGTAACTGGCATCACACTACAATGCGTTGTTTCCACTTTTTGAAAGCCTTGAGAACTCGCAGTAATGAAATACACTAGCTCATCTATTATCTGCAGCACTCAGGACAACAGCCCCAGACATGAGGTGATGATCACATGATGTCTCACTTACAAAGCAGCTAGACGGAAGTCATTAACAATTGCAAGTCCATAAGCAATACTCCCAAAACTGCTTTGTGATCCAGCATTACAGCAGCTCTTACCAGGTGTAATATTCTGACAATTTAAACAGTAAGATTCAGCTGGGGAAATGCTTTAAAAGTGCATTGAATTATTTGCAAGTATTAAAATATATTTAGGATAAAAATATATGTAAAACAAATAGCAATCCTAAAATCAAGTTTCAACTGCTCACTGGTTTACCAACATATCAGTGCATCTTAATGGAACAAAAGTCATATTTGGACAGTCTATCATTCAAAAAACAAAATTAGTTTTTAAGTGATATTTCACATTATGTAAATGAATTTGTAGCATGAATATTAATAAGGTACACCCCATAACACAAATGTCATTTATAAAGAGTCACATTTGGTTCTTTCAAACATCTTTCCTGTTCAGATACAAATAACCCTTTTTAAAAAAAAAAAAAGTCCAAAATTTGTACCTTCCCTCAACTCTACACATTTTGCTTTTGGTCAGAACGATGAAAGAATTAACACCACTAAAATTTACTAACTGAACAGAAAAGAAAAATGACTGCAGTTTCAATATGAACACACAATGTCCATCGTGTTAAACAGGGTTTTTAAACTGAAGTTGCTCAACTTTAATTATTCATTCTAAGTATCTTAGTATTTTGAAATAGTTGATGTGCGTTGGTACACGAGAGAGATAAAAAGGGCACAATTCACTCAAACGATCAGGAATAGTTGTTAAACATTACTTAGCACCCAAGACAGACAAACAAGCAGGGCAAAATTACAGTCAGCCCTAAAATCAGCTTAAGACATAGCAGTGAATTCTTTGAATATTGCCAAGTGCACAACAGTGACAGAATCAGATTATTCCGGAAATTAGAAGGAAATGCAAAAATCTAGCACTTGCTTGCTCACCGATTCTACCATATTATTTGCAGCAGGTTTAAAAACATGGAATGGAAGTTCAACTCTGGAAGGCTGTATTCTTAGTACAAAAAAATGGGGTCCACAGAAATTGAGGGCGCAAGCTCAAGAAGCTATCCAATTGTATTGCAGCAACTTAATTGCACATTGAACTTATATAACATGCATTGTGACATCTCATCAAAATGATTGCAACTGTAGTATTAACAACTTTTCGGCCAAAAAAAGAAAACAATTATAATAATCGTAAATTAGTTTACATCCTGTGAGATGCAAACTACTGGCACCTTCAATCCTACCTTTGCTCCTAATAGCTCATTACATCACATTACATTTCCGGTAAAAACATGAAATTTGGAACTAAGCAATAGATAAGACCTGTAGCAGCTACTGAACGACCCAAGCGGACTTAAAGTTTGAACTGCTCCGTTCAATCATTTTCGCCATACAAGAATTGGATAAACTGGATGGAGACCAAATTGTGAAGGATATTAAGCTACAACAATTTTAAAAAAAGGTCAGAACAGTCACAAATTTGGATATTTAAAGTGTTCATCATAAAGTGCATCATGGTCAATACATCACGCAAACAGGGCTAAGAGAAGCCCAGGATGGCAGATCAGATGTCAAACTTTCCAATTTTTAATAGATCAAATTAAAGGACAAAATGGTTGAATTCTCTTTGACAGCACAGCTCTTAGCAGTGTAAAATTTCCTACTTCTGTACTTCAAATCTTTAACATTAGCAAAGATAACAAAGGAAGGTTTACACAAACATCAACTTCACTAGCTGGTGCTTAAAAAATGTGCCAGAGTATAATATGAATAAAAACTGCATCTATGGCTCGAAATGATTTCCACACTCTGCACTGCAAGATGATACCTGATACCAACATACTTCTGAACGTAACCTTTTAATTGAGCAATTAAACCTTATCTGACCTATATTTAATGGGCTTTGTAAGGCACCACATTTTTTTCCTTTAAGGCAATAACTTGAAATGCAAATTGGACTGCTAGAGTGCTGAAATACCAGCACAGCTTTGCCAACTGGGAAAATCAAATGGTGCAGAACAATGTTGTTTAACAAGCAGTGACGGGGGTACTCTGAGACAGTGTGTCACTAAGAGTCTATGAGTTAAGATAGGTATGCATGACGACTGCCCTCCGATTGCAAAAGTTGAGATGTAGTTTTAGAATAAGGTGGAGCAGATTTAAAATAGGAGGAAAGTACTTCTGTCAAAGCATCGTGAATCTGTGGAATTCACTACCACAGGGTGTTGTGGATGCCTGGACATGGAGTATTTGAGGAGATAGATTTTAAATTAGTAATGGGTTGAAGGGTTATGGAGAGGGGGCAGGAAAGTGGAGTTGAGGCAGAGATGAGATTGGTCATGATCATTAAATGGCAGAGCAGGTCTGGAGGGGCTTATTGCCTACTCATGCTCCTAGTTTTTATGACCTTATGTTCCAAGGGCATTAAAACCAAAGCTGTAAGTGCAGGGCAACCAAAAATGCCCAGAGCCTGCAAGCTGAAGACATTTCCCTCTATCTCCATGCAAATGAAAAAGACAGAAAAACGCAAGAAAGGGTAAAACAAA